CGTTTCGTTGGTGTTTTTCCGTTTTTCCGACTGCCGTTTGTTGAGCGGTAAAATCCAGTTTTGAAATGCAGTTAAAAATGGTTTAAGGCTAACCGAAAAAAAAGTGGTGAAATAGAATATTTTCTATGCAGGGGATAGACTTTAAATAATTAAAAAAATGCAATGAAAAATATGCAAGGAAAATTGTTCTTAAATAAATATGTAGTTAAAGTTATCTTTTTAGATATTTAATTCGGTTTCTTTGAAAATCCAAAAGCCAAAAGCTGACATTTTATAAATTCCATTTTAGAGAATCTTCAAAAGGACATTTCAGCTTGCAAGTTAGTAACTTGAATCCTGTTCTGCAGAAACACAAACATCTTTATCCACCTTCTCCCCTTAAGAGACCAGTTAACAAGCCTCTAGTATACCGCATCTGCTCTTCCCTCCATTTGCTAATCACTTGCAACATTCACCGCTCGAGGGTCTAGACAAACACTTCAATTAGAAAACACCGCTCTCATCCCTGCCCCCGAAAGCGCAGTGACCCTCCCACCCTGCCATCCTGCCCGTCGGCTCTTTTCGCTCACAAATGAATTCATTTTGTTTTGGATTCGATGAATCAGTTGGTAACTTTTTTTTGCCATTGCAAAATGGGGGGCGTGGCTGCAGCAGAAAAGAAAAAAATGAAATAAAATAAGAGAGGGCGGCAGACGATTTGCGGATGTTAAATAAAAATGTGAAATGAACAAAATACAAAAACGCAACCAAAGCATCAAAAAACACAAATGGACAAACGATGCTGCACCTTTCTAGACGAAGGCTGAAGTTGCACTGAGGGAAATTATAGAGCTTAATGAATTTAGAAGCATAAGAAAGTAAGGATACTTGGGCTTAACAGCAAGCCAAGAGTTCTCCCTTTAACTGTAAGATTTTTTAGAAAATATGTTGCTATATGAATGACAGTTTTAATAATATAACAAGTCCTTTAAATTTATAAGGGTTCTTCAGGAAATTAAACAAAAATTTGTAAGAAATTTCTTAGTAACTTTAAAACATAAAAGTAAAAGTTCTCCCTAAATATTGTCTAATTTTTATTGATATTTATTCTCGTAAATGAGTTCTTAGTCCTCTTTTAAGCTTTTAACGTTTACATATATTTTCTTAAAGTGCATTAAGAGGGCAAGGGAAACCGGCTGAGCTAGCTGGCTGGGATTAAGTTGTGAATCGTGATCTCGGCAAGCAGTGGGCAAGTGGCTAAGTCGGAGTCTCAGACTTCCAGCTGCAGTTGCACATGAATTCCAAGTCGCAGAGAAGAGCCTTGGAGTCTGGGGCTTGCCCTGCCCGCGGTGATTAATCCACGAACGAACCTCTCCGCCAGTCTGCGAGGTGGAAGATCTTCAACTTTAGATACTTTCGGGGTTAAGACGGCTGTGTGGACTGCGAGCAGCTGGCCCTGGCTTTGGCGATATTTAACCCGTGATTACAATGTTTGTAAATTTTTTCCTGCCTCGACTCGAACTCGAACTCGGGCTCGGGCTCTTCTTCCAGAATTTATTTTAGTTTATTTTGCTTTTGGTTCACCTTGCGGGCCAATTTGTTCGCGCGACTGCTGAGAAGTCTGGCAAAATGAAGCTAAATTGCCGCTACAGGAAGAGTGGCGGAGTGGAGTGGAGTGAAGAGCCCTGGCTCATGCTCCTGGTAGTTGAGCAATTTATTATGGCCGCAAATTGATTTTTATCTACGCTTAATCGATTGTTCCTAGGAGTGACTGGGACTGGGACTGCGACTGGTACTGGTACTGGGGATTAACGAAAATTATTTATGTTAGTTCACACGTTGTTTTACACGTAATTTATTAACATCGCTTTTCTAGTGCAAACTCTCTGACCTTGGGGGCAGTGATGGAAAATCGCTTTTCCGCTGTGGTGTGAAGGTGATTTACAATTTATTCCGCCCCCTTTGGACTCCGCCACATGCTGCCACATGATGCGATAATTTGCGACGGACTGACTGGAGACTGGAGCTGGCCAAAAAGATATTTATGACAGAGAAATGAGCGCCAATTGCTGCAATTACCAGCGCGTGTTTGGCCGTCGGCAAAAGCGGGCCCAAACGAGTTTAGATTTAGTTTAGATAGATTTGCTGTGGAGACAGGGATCGATGGAGGGGCGGACTTCGGGGGGTGGTGTTTGGAAATGGACTGGTAGATCCAGCTAATTTGCCAAGAATTTGGGCAACTGCGGAGGAGAAATTCCTGGGAAAATTGAGTTCCAGGAAGTGCGCAAAAATCTATTTCCTAAAGCGGAAAATGTATACGTTTATTTGGATTTTTTGTATGAAAATAATTTAATTTAAAGGTTCAAAAAAATAAGGATATAGAAGCTGAAGTTATATATTAAATTATTTAACATTTAATTTTTATAAATAGAACACTCTATGAATTATGAGAAAATTAAGTCCAAGTTAAGCTTAAATCAACATGTATTCCCTTATCATTTTTGTTTAGTTCAACTTTAATTCAATGAAACAGACTAAAAATTTTAAATTATATTTAAAAACTACTCTTCTTTCTCGCCTGTCGAATTAATATTGTTATTAAAAAAATAAAGGCAACTCCTGACAACTGCCGGGCTCAGGCAACAAATCGATACATTTTCAATATCCGCAATTGTAACATGTAAATGCACCGAGGGGGGATATGTAAATTCTGGCGGGGGATCGGCGGAAGAGTACAGAGGAACCGCAGAAAGCCAGACCAGACCGCAGCGTTGTGTTTTATATATTAATTTGCGAACAATCGAAAATCGACATGTGACACGCGTTCGGTGGCCCCTCTGCTGCCCCGCTTTTCCTTCTCAGTGTCTCATTTTTGTGTTTTTTAAATTTATGCGTTACGAATTGCATTTGCAATTTTTTTTTACCCCACTCTCTCTTTGTTGCTGTTTTGCGGCTGCTCTTGTTGTAAATGCAATGCAACATCGATGAATGCGAAATGAGGGACGCGAGGGAGAAAGGCAAGGCATCTTCCCTCCGTTTGTCGCAAATAATAATAATAATCGAGGCAATGAGGGACCCCGAGAATCGTTCCTGTAAATGTACGTAGATATTCCGATATATATATGCACATACATTCATGTAACCGACCTGCATCTGTCGCTGTGCCCGTCTCCCTCTGGTTCATCCTCCCTCCTCGACTGCCTGGGACATATCAAAAACAATTCCAGCTCATCAGCATCATCGTTGTCAGCCCCTTTTTCCCGTATATATATTAAACACTGAGAGAAAATTCCAAGTCTACAAAGAATTGCATAAGCTTAAAAGGAATTTTTGTCATAAAAAGGAGGAACTTAATTTTTTTTTCTGACTTGATCCAACATTATAAAGAAAAGACTATACTTTTCTAAATTTTCAGCTTATTGCCATATCAAAAATCATATTCAAGAACTTTTTTTATATCATTAACCCTAAAACTTTTATTTTTAGAATATTACATATTTAATTGAAAAGTTTTGAACGTAAAGTTGATAAAGAGTCGATGTTTATCGATTTAAAATCGAATTTTGCATTCAAAAATGATCGAAACATCGACACTTTACCTTCTCTTTCAAAAATTTAAATTTAAAAAATGTAAAAAATCCATCTGATATTTCTAGAACCATTGTTTTAAGATCAGAATTCAATTTTAAAGTATTTCAAAATGAAATATATACTTTGCTTTAAAATTATTTTTTTTTTCTTTCACTGTAAATATATATTGTTTTTTTTCCGCCCCGACATTCGCACACGCCATAAATCAATGTTCGATTTTCCCAACAACAACAAGAGAAGGAAAATTCGCATTGGCAAAAAGAGGAAAGAAAGAGGGCGCAGAGCGAGACGGCGACAGGCAAGGACACAGGACATTATGTTCGCGCCATGTTTAAAAATTCTTTTTTTCCGGGTCTGGCGTTTTTGCTTCCTTTTCCTTTTTTTTCGCTCGCCTGATTTTCAATTCTCGTTTTTGTAATATTTCTTTTTTTCCCCATTTTTGGTTTCAGCGCGTGTTGCATTTCATTTCATCTCATGCGTTACACACATTTCATTGTTGTTGCATTGCTCAATTCCATTTGCAGCAGCAGCGGTGGAAATGCATTACATTTTCCTTTCCTTTATTTTTTTCGGTGACATGCGGGGCGCCACGAAAACATCACGAGGAGGAGGATGAGGAGGGGATTGGGAGGGGAAAGGCCGAGGCCAGGTATTCCTATATTGCCAAGCAAAGGAATACTTGTGGTAAATTGAACAGATTTCAGCTGTGCCAGAGTGAAGCTCAATGGGAAATAGTTCTGGAAATAGCTTGGAGTAAGCGGAAAAGTGAATGGAAAATAAGGGAAATGTGGAAAAGGTACAAATTTCAATTTTTAAAGCTATATAAATTATATTTAATCAAGTTTTGGTGATTGAAATGAAGAAGATATTAAAAGATATTTACAATGTAAAATTAATGTAAAGAAGAATAAGTTCTAAATATTTTTTAAATATTTTGTAATCCTTCAAAAATGTTTCGTGGGGAATAATTATTTATTATTATTTACTCTTCCACTGAAACTCAACTTCATGTTCTTACAACCCCGATCCGTTCTAGTAATTCTAAGATACATTTTCCCAAAAATATTAGCCTCCCCAATCTTTCATCGTTTCAATAGTAAACACAAAAAATTCACCCAGGGAACCTCATCAAAGTAATGCAGTTGTGACCCCCAAGAAACCCCACTGGATCTCAACCCCAGAGATTATTTATACAAAACAATTGCTGGGCGCGAAAAACTTTCGCCGCGACAGCTGTTTCGAAACTTTGAAGAACTTTAATAGACCCCCAACAAAACAAAAAAAATAATATAAACAGAAACTTATGAATCGGAATAGAGATTTTTGTACCTGCCGTGGGATTGAACGACGACACTTTCCATGGAACTGAAACCTCCGGAAAATTGAAAGAGTTTTGAGGGGGAAAAAGAGAACCGAGTTCGGATACGCGGCTATTTGCGACACTTTTTCCGCTTGGTTGGGGGACGTAATTTTCGCTTCTCAAGGATAATCGTGGTCAGAAGCTCGATGGGGGTTATGGGGCACATGTTCGCTCGATACGGCCGTAGGGGTGTGGACACGCGGAGGGGGGCGGGACAAAGCTCAGATCCATTGGCCGGGTCAGCCGCACATTTGGTCGAAATCAATTAAGCGACACTCTGGATTATATTATCGAATTTTATATTTGGCGAGCGGATAAAACTCATTTGCCGACGGCAAATTATTCAGAGATACTTTATCGCCTTTTCAGCCACGTTTTTCTCCGGGAAAATTATTGCGCTCGAATCTCTCTCGACTCGACGCTGCGAAATTGCCAACTAGAGGATGCCTCCAGCTCGGCTGGCCGCCTTAGGAGCCAAAATACAAAAGTATTTGCCGTATTTTCTGCTCTCCTCTTATTTTGGGAGCGTTTTGGCTGGCGCTCGAGAATGCTTAACAAAAGGAAACCCCCTCCGCCTCACCCCCACCACAATAGGGGGGGCCCAGCTGGGGGGGAGGCACAATAAATTATTACACTTAAGAGAGCATCATCCCCGGGGTCAAGAGAATGAGATAAATAAAGAGCTCCGAGTGGCCGCCACATAATAATAACACAATTTTCAACTAGCCATAAACTTTGTGTAAATGACTTCATTGTCGGGGGCAACTATAACTTTATGGCTCTTTGATAGGGCTCCCCCTTCCCTGAGCCACAAATCTCCACCATTCTCTTACGGATTCTCAGCATGCGCAGTAGCTAGAGAAAGCTCTTTGTCTCTCTTTCTCCGGACACCCCTACGAGAAGTGCCACCGTTCACTCACCATCTTCGGGGCATCTAAGAAAAACAGAAAACAATAAAATCCAAGAAAATAACAATTCGGACTATGGGAAGCCAATCAAAAATTGAAATGGAAATTGGGTTTAAATTTGAGAATATATGGGTTTGAAAGGGTGTCTTAAGCTTATTGAAAGGATATCAAAAGAGTATCGAAAATGTATCGAAAGCGTATTAGAAACGTATCGAAAGCTTATCGGAGGAGTAGCGTTATCATATCGATAACGTATATTTATTATTTTTATATCAAAAGCTACGACTAATCTTGAAAATATATAACATAAAAAGTAGTAAATAAATGAAATTAAATTCTGAGTTTGAAAAATATCGAAAACGTATCGAAAGAGTATCGAATGCATATCGACAACATATCGAAAACTTTTTTTATTTTTAAGCCACTATTAATCTTAAACATTTTGAAACTAAACAGTAGTATTTAAGAAAGTACATGTTCTAAAAAGCATCTCACCATTAGAGTGGTTTCTTGAAAAACAGTGTCATAAGAAAACCTTCTCATCCTTATTTTTCCAAAATTTGTACACTTTGTTAGCAAAGCAGATTTCTTAAAGCATGCATTGTTAGTGTAAAATTATCTTTTTTATGTATCTAAAATCCCCTTTTGCCTTGTTTAAATCCCTTTTTAATTGTTTCCCCATTCGTTGCCTCAAGTGCATCTCAAAAAAACCATTTGATCCCATTGTCGCCTGCGGAGATTGTCATCGTCATCGCCGGGGCCATCATCATCGTCTGCACATTTATTTGGCCCGGCAGTGTGCTGCATGTAAAGGCAGCTAATAAAATTAAAATGCCATATTTCAGCCGTTGATAACAATAAGTGCGCTCAAGTTGCCTGGCCCTGTCCCTGCCCCTCCTGCCACACTTGCCTGCCTTTCTGCCGCTGCGGCGTCTGGCTGCGAGTAGGAAATTATTTTTTGGCACGAACGCACGAACGTGCGGCCTTGCCACAAAGTGTGGAGTCCTCAAATCCGGGGCTACGATACTTTCGGGGCCACTCTCAGTCCCCCTCAGAGCCTGTCTGTTGATATGACAAAGCATTTGAGCTAAGAGGGAAAAAATACCTGTGGAAAAAGCAGGCTGCTAGGAATTTTCCTAGATATTGATTTTGGTGTCAACGCCGACGGCGCAATTCTCTCAGCCGAAAATTATGAAAATTGAAAATGAATTTGAATATCTGGCTCGAGTGGGAGAGGGGGAAGTTTCCTAATTTTCCCCCAGACAAGTGCGATAAGAATCACGTTAGACAGGAGAGGAAATGATTTATGTGGACTTGATTTTTCTTATTGATTATCTATCAGCTAAGGTGGGCCGTGATTTTCAGAGTGCACATAAAATAATATTTGCTTCTTTAAATAAAATAAACAGAATCAAATTAAAAGGAATTGCATCAACTTTAATATTAAGGAAAGTTTTTATCATTGAAAGGAAGTATCACATCTAAAGTTTCCTCCTTTCACTCTTGGCTTGTAATTAAATTTAAATTCCTTTAACATGACAAGCCAGAAAACAGACATACACACGTACTCGTACACTGGCAGAAAGGAGTCAACAACAGGCGTTCATGTCCTGGTAATGGAAAATCCTTACGTTTGTGTGTCTGCTGACTGCATCTCTTGAGCTCGTTTTGTGCAAACTAAGACACGTTGTCAGCATTCATGTCACCGAAATAGGGGGAGGTGGTTACCTCCCAGAAAGAGGGTGAGAACTTTTCTCCATTCAAGTGGCTTTGCATGCTGGCCAAAAGATTTTTCATTAAAATTTTCCCTTCCATCGCCTAATAGTTTTTGCTTTCTTTATGCCAAAAAAGGCCAGAGAAATTCTGCATTGTAAGTGGAAAAAAATGTTACATTTTTTAGTTTCCAATTTTGATGTCATTTTGGAAATAGGAAAATGTTGAAATGCTTTAAAATTTTTGTTTAGGGAAATACCTAGGCCTAAGACTTATTTTATTCCAAAAGTTTATTTGAAACCAGTTTAGGCTGCAAATACATACAAATCAAATACAAATCTTTGCAAATGTTTAACATTTAATTAAATTTATTCCCATTTCATTTTGCCACATTTTCCAATCGAAAGTCGTACGCGGAAAAATGCTTTTCCCACCATCGAATTTTCCGTAATGGACTTCCCTGCGCGGACAGCGTTTAAAGATCGCGTTCGCATTTATCGTTTGGGAAAGCTTCATGATGAGGCTTCAATCCTGCCAGACGCCACCCCTGAAAAGGGGCTGTTGAGCAGGAAGGGGGTCTCTAGAGGGGGCAGGGAGCTGCTCCGAGGGGGAAACACAAAAATCTTTTTACGTCAGTTCTGCTTGTCTTGTTGCCTGGCATTTTCTTGCGTTGTTACCTTCGGAGCGGGAAGAGTGCGAAATGCTTGGTTGCGTTGTTGCTGCCCTGAGACACCCTCCTCCCCCATTTCCAACCCACCCGCGCCCATCATCTCCTTCGAGTGCTACCAACTTGGCTAGCTTGTAGGTAAATATGGCTACTTTTAAGGTTGGTAGACGGAAAATGGTTTAGTTTTAGCTGGAAAACTTGGTATTTTAAAGGTTTACAAAACTTTGAAAATTATGAAAAATGTGACACTTCTTGTTTAAAATTCTTCTTTAAACTAAATGTTATTTATATTGAAATATTAAGTTTTAAAGACTCTTGAATAAATTACTACATATTTTAATTTAAAATAAGAAATATAAATAAGCATATAGAAAGATATTTCTTAGGTTAGGATATTACTATACATTTTCCTTTAATGTTTATTAATACCTATATTTTTATTCGTGTTTCTAAATTTATTTCCCTATATTTTCTAACCATTTTTAAACCATATTTTGTTATTTTATTTGAATTTGGCAACACTGTCTTCGTTCCGTCTGTGAATCGCCGGCAATTTCCTTTAGCGCAGAATATACAACGAAAGCGAAGCGAAAAGTTTTTGCGAAAAACGTTAAACGCAACTGTCCGTCCATCCGTCCGTCCGCCCCCTTTGTGTCTGTCTCCCTCTCGTTCCGTCCGCCAGTCTGTCCCTGTCTCTCCGTCTGTCTGTCTGTCTGGCCCGGTTCATCCTTCCGCTTACCGCTTCCCCGATCCCCAATCCCTGCGATCCCCGCGATTCCAGCCCCTCGGGCAGTTTAGTATATAACAAGTCAGCGTCAGCTGCTCCTTGCCTTTCCGCCCGCTACAGTTCCTACATTAAGCAATGCACAGAGAGAAAAATATAGGTTTTCTTTGTGGTGTAAAATATATCGAGGGGAATTTGATTTGCTAGAAAGTTAAGGTTCTGAGAAGAAATCCAAAGTTATCAAAATCGATCATACATTTTCATAAATATAAAAATAACGACAACGTTATAAAACAATATTAATTATACAGATTTTATTAAGTAAATTGTTATATATTTTTAAAATATTTTTTCCAGTGTCCCTACTACCTACTGCTGCCACTTTGTCGGCTGACTCGAAATACTTCCATGTTCATTTTACAAGTAAAACGGAAATGACAGTTCCGCAGCGACTCGAACATCTTTCGCTCCTCCGCTTCTCACTTCTCGTTTCTCTGGTTCAGTGTTTTCCCCCCCATTTCCCCGATTCTCTGCTCCTCTGTTGTCCCGCCAGTTGCCATGGAAAGTGAAAGAAACCTTTCTCGCATAATAGTCTGTCAAAGTGCTCGAGTTTGCTCCTGTGACGCTCGGCGTAGCTCGCCACTCTCGAGCACTTAGCACTTGACAATCCGCAGGAAGGCCAACGGAGAATGATAGGAAATAGATAAGAGATACATACATATATATGGATAAAGGATAAAGAAAGGATAAACCGAAGAATTGGTAGGAACCTAGATGGATAAGCTTAAAGTTTTCATATTTCTCTTGATCAAAAGTTAATAGAAGGAAACATTTATTAGATCTTAAAATGACTTTTTATGGTCATAGCTTAGCTGATGTTGTCATTTGAATTTACTCTTATCCTACTACTCCTTTTTTACTTACCACCTAAAATTCTTTTATATCTCAGAACCCCTTTTATCCACCCATTTTCCCACCCTCCCCCTGATGACTAGAGTTACTTGAACTAATTTTCTAATTATGAGTCCGGCGCACAGAAATCATGTCAGGCGTCCGTTGCTCTCACTCGCTGGCTCACTTGCTGAGTGATTTATGGCTGCTGCTGGAAAAATGTCAAAATATTTGTTGGCCAGTCTCCACACAAGGCCTCCCCT